TGGGACCAGAATAAAAGAGTTAGTGGAAGCATGAAGCCTAATGATCAGGACACTGAGCTGGGAGAGGAATCCCAGGTCGCAGTCCCTTCTCCAACCACTGGCTATGCACTATGTATTGTGTAGTCATTGGAATGATAAAAAGAAATTATTCATGTAGGAGAGACTGTCGTTCTCCTGCCAGGTGTGTGCTTCTAACACTGGACTACTGAGTCAGTCTTTCTCTTGCCCTTTCTCTAACTCAATCCAGCCCACTGTACCTTGTCTCCCATCCTGCACAGTGAGACAGCTTCAGCAAGAAGGGTGGAAGTTGCCCAGTCTTGTAATTAAGGAGGTGGGAGATATAGGTCTGAACCCCTCCAGGTGAAGGTGGGAATTGAAACCAGATTTCCCACTTCCTGAGCAAGCACTCTAACCACTACATGGTGCTTTTAAAATTAGGCATGTCCTCCTTCTCTTCTAGGTATGTGTTAAGAAGAAAATTGCCAAACTACACTTTGTGAGTGTTCTTATGTTGCTAATATGTATTGGGCATGCTCCGAGCATGCCTGCTCTATCAGCCTCCTCAAGGGACTTAGATCCCAGTCAGGTTTAGACAGGAGCTAGGCATGTAGCTGCCCAGTATAGGGCAGTTCAACACACATGCAGAAGCAGGCCACTTTTCTCAAATGAATCCAAAAAAGCAGCTTGCCACCTATCTGCACAAATACAAATGACTTGGACAGAAAAGTACTGTAACCTATGAGGAGTCTCTCACAGGTCAGCCAACTCAGCCAGCTCTGCCTAACATTTCAGAATATAGTTTCTCAGGCTGACTAGGTACTTATGAAGGAACTGGCACATTCTTTGAGGCTCCTGGCACACATTTATTTAAAGGCACCATGGGATTTGAGCCCCACACATTTCAGATCAGGCACAATTTTCAGATCAGGGATAAGACCCCAATTGTGCCCGTTATGCTTGCCCATGAAGGGGGAGCACTGGATCACGATCCCAAGTTTCCCCAGCACTGGCAAGTCAAATGCTAGGGACTCAGAGTCCAGTGTGACCTGGGGTTGTGCCAGAACTAGGGTCAACAACCAGCTGACTGTTGGGCCCCGGCACTGGGAGATCAAGTAACGAATCAATTAGATGTGGGAGACATGGTTGATGTCATATACTTGGATTTTAAAAAGGCCTTCAATAAGTTCTTCCATGATGCTTTTATAAAAAACTGGGGGATTCTGGGCTGGCAGAGTCCATGGTCAGGTGGGTTGGAAACTGGCTAGACAGGGATGGGAAAAATACAGCCTGTGGCCTGCCTGCCAGGCCATTCTTTCTGGCCCATGGGACCCCTAAAAAATTTAGAGAATTAAGATTTATCTGCCCTGGCTGCCTGTCAAAGATGATAGGAGCCAGCAGCAGTAGGACCCAGAGAGAGCCAACAGCAGGATTAAGCAGCTGAAGCAGCAAGGCCGGGCCAGCCCGACCCCACCCCACCCCAACCCCAACCCCAGGTGTACTGACTCAGGCCCCACGCTCCTGCCCAGCTGTTGCTGCACTCTGCAGGTCCGCTCACTACCCCCTTCCCCCCGCCTTCCACAGCCATTTCCCCACTCCCCCCTCTCTCCCTCATCTGCTAGCCAGCTGCTCCAGCACCACATGGTTCCTGGCTACAGCACCAGGACCACAGGAGCAGCTGGGATCTGGTGCTAGAGCAGCAGGGGGGAGTGACAAGAGAAGGGCAGCAGTGACAAAAGGGGGGGGGGTAGTGGCTGTGAGTGGCAGCATGGGCCTCCATGGGGCCAGAAGCAGCAGGAGCAGAGTCTGGACTTGGAGCAGTAATGGCAGGGGCTCTGCCTGCCATGGGGGGGCAGGCTGTGAGGAAACCCTCCCCCTCCACACATGCCACAATCCTCCCCAGCCACCTACACATCCACATGCTCCTCCACCCTCCCACAAACCCCATACTTGCACTCACAGCCTTCTACAACATACAAGAGTAAGACTTAATTTTAAGCTATTATACCATCGTACACTATACAAACACGTGTAAATCAAGACAAAAATAAGTTTTGAAATGAAATTAATGTATGATGTAGTATGTTTGATTTCTAGAATATAATTTGGTATTTTTCTGGTTCCAAGGTGACAAACCCCTCTGCTGAAAGGGGTATTTCTAGGGGGCAAGGGGAAGGACTTCTGGTGGCAAAGGTCAAAGATTAGGGGGTGGGACTTCAAGTCCCAAGATGGTGACCAGGGGGCAGAGCACCTGTAAAGGCGCAGGGCTGCCCATGTGGCCCTTGATGGGCAGAGTGGAACCAGATAAGTGCAATAAGGATAAATGCAGCGTGTTTCATCTGGGGCGAAGTAACCAGTGACATGAATATACGTTAAGCCAGGGGTAGGCAATTATTTCAGGCTGAAGGCCGCTTACTGAGCTTTGGCAAGCCATCAAGGGCTGCATGACAGGCAGCCAGGGGCAAACAAATATTAATTTTCTAAATTTTTTTAGGGGCCCCGTGGACCAGATAAAATGGCCTGGTGGGCCACATCCAGCCCACCCCTGGGTTAAGAGGAAATGTCCTAGCCAGCATGATGGCTGAAAGGGACCTTGGAGTTATGGTTGATCACAGGTCACCAGTGTGACACTGTAGTCAACAGAGCTAATAGCATACTGGGATGCATTAGCTGATGCATCGTGAGCAAGGCTAAGAAAGTAATACTTCCTCTCTACTCAGCACTGATGAGACCTCAGGTGGAGTACTGGGTCCAGTTCTGGGTGCCACACTTCAAAACAGATGTGGAGAATCTTGAAAGGGTTCAGAGAAGGACCACAAGAATGATTAAGGGTCTGGCGAACAAACCTTATGAGGAAAGGCTAAGGGATCTGAGACTGCTCAGCCTAGGGAAGAGAACACTAAGGGGGGACTTGGTGGCCATCTATAAATATGTAAGAGGTGAATATTGGGAGCTGGGAAAAAACCTGTTCACTAGGTCACCCTAAGGGGAGGACAAGGAGAAATGGCCATAAACTGTTAAAGGATAGTGTCACGGCGGGGTCTTATAGGAGGGCCGTGATCTCCTTAAGGCCCTCTCTCCGTGCCAATTCGGCCCAAGGGCACCCTCTATTCTCGCCCGCCACGTCTTTGCTCTTAAGTTAAGTTGGGAGGCTGCCTTATACCCTCTTGGACACGTCCTGGACCCCTCGTGGATCTTGTCCAGCACAAATGGGTGCTTCGGGGCACCCTAGCCTTATGGGCTCCGCGTGGCTCCTACCAACCCCTAATACCACGCCCCAAGCCTCACAGATGTCTTAGACATTGGTGTGTCTCTCTATACGTACACAGCCCCCTTCCCTGGGGCCTTCTCTCATAAGGCGCTCCCCTCTTCGGGGCTCGCCATGCCCACCTTGGGCTTCCTAAAATGCTGCCCCCTTCTCTGGGGCCTCCTCTAAAAGTGTTGTCCCACTTAGGGACCCTTGCCCACTTTGGGACTCTATATCGAGCCTCCAGTCTTTCAGGCCCACCGCGCTGCTTCCCCTTTTCCGGGACGCTGTGCTGCTATCCCCTTTCCCTGGAGACCACCGCAGCACCCTGTCCTTCTCTTGGGTGCACCGTGCTGCTAACCCCTTTTCCTGGGGTCCACCGCAGCACCCTGCCCTTCTCTTGGGTTTTCTGCAGTGCTAGCCGGTTACCGGGCTCGTCATGCCCATCCTGGGCTTCTCACATATGGCCCCTCTCGGGCCTTTCACATAGTGCTGCCCCCTCCTCTCTGGGGCTCGCTGTGCCCACGCTGGGCTTCTCTAAAGTGCGCTCCCCCCTTCCTGGGGCTCGCCATGCCCACGCTCCAGCTTCCTAGTAGTGCCCCCTCCTGGGGCTCGTTGTGCCCACTTCTCTGGGCTTCTCACCTGCCCCTCTCTGGGGCTGGGGTCTATGTACCCCGTATGCCGTGCCCTCACTGGCGCTGGGGTCCCCACACTATAGTGAGTCCCTTATGAGGCCTCCTCCATCCCCTAATAGCCTCTCCCAAACCACCGGTGTAATAGCAACCACAAAACAAACATAAGCCTCTAGGCTATAACTCAACATAAGCCACCTGGCTATGACTCAACCTGATTGTAACCTCCAGAGCCGCTTCCCTTACACTGCTTGAACGGCTCCTGCAGTGCTCGCATCCTTGTCCTTGCCCTTGCCCTTGCCCTTGCCCCTCTGGCTATTTGCAGGGAACCACTAGCCTGGCCTTGGCTCTAGGCTTTATAGGAGCCAGGCCCTGCCCCCTACAGGCAGCTGACTCTTATTAGTTGCCCTGGCAACCCACAGCTGTACTCATTATCACTGAT